CTTGCATTGTAAATAATTTTCCTTTTAAGCGGAAAAAATTTCATTATTATGAATATTTAAATTTGAAATACATCAAATTCTATGTATTACGTAGTGAACTCAACCTGAAAATGCGAGTGATGACGAACAATACTGTATGTAATAATTACATTTATTGAATAAAAATACCATCTTATTGTTGGATGAATTATCGTTCATTCTTGTAATAATTTTGTAAATTGTTAATTATTGTACTTCCCAATATATTTTTGAAGTTATTTATTTCAAGTTAAAAATCCAATTAATGACTTTTTCATCAAGAGAACCTCTTTGTCATTAATATACGTACTTTTTGTACTAGTTTCTAATAAATTTGCGGTTCACTAACTTTTTTAAAAAATTCTCAATAAATCTTCGCCAAGTTTATTAAATTCCTGTATAATATATTTCAAAAACATTCGTTTTCACATCCAAACAGACATATCATAGTATTTAGAGTACAAAAATTGGTTGTACAACGAAAAAACTTAATCAAATGGTAGATGAGACATTTATTTGCATATATATATGCATTATTATTAACATATGCAAAGTTAGAGTGGATACTTGCATTTTTCATTCACTTTTTCTCGTTTGACATTTTTGTCAATCTTTGAATTGCTGTCTTGAAAAAATAGCTTTTTTGAAATGTGAATTGCTTTGAATTAGCAAAATATTCCCTTTTTTATGAAATTTTACTTACCTGTCTGATCCATTTCAGGAATGAACTCCAATATTAATCCACTTTTGCGAGGAATAGATCTTTCACGTATGGACAGTAAAAATCGGTCCATGTCGCGAATAACATGGCAACCCACAAGATGCATTCTTCCAAATCTTTTAGTATCTATTACTTTTATGGTGAGAGCTGGACGATGCTCTGCATTCATTGGTAGTACCTGCAAAAAATCGTATTTCTTCCCTAGTTTCTTGTTTTCTTGTAACAAAACATTACGTTAAATAATTTTAATAATTTCAAAGTAATATGGCTGTATTAGTTAAAACTTCAGTCAGAGACGATGTATTTCCCATATCGTGAACAATTGAACTTCTTTGAATGGGACGTATCTCCCAAAAAATACAATATGTCAGGTAATGTAAATATTGGTTCAGTAACATAGTTCAACAGCTTTAGGACATCGTTTAACAAAGGAGAAATGACGTTTTTGAACATAATATTTGGCAAAATATTATACCATATCGTAAGGTTGTAGTAATATATAAATCTACAAAACAAATGAAAATGGAGATAGGCTACGTCAGTTTGGAAATGAGCACTCTTTCTTACGTTGAAACATGGATACATTTTGCTTGAAGGCATACCAACGCTCCACAACTTAAAAAGGCCGTGACTGCTCCTTTAGCAGATGCAAGGCGAGTTCTGCTTGTCACTCGCAACTTACGTATGTATGTACACCAGAACCAGACGCCGTCATTGACAGCAACAATACGGACTCGAATATGAGTTTTTAATTGCGCTCCTGACAGAAGAGTTCACTTGCACCGTAACAATCAATAAAGAGTGTTTTAATTTAGAATTATGTGATAAGAACCTCATAACTTTAATTCTTGGGTACTCTGGGTGTTGCTAGGGCTCAAATGTTACTGAAATGTCAATAAAGTTCAAATTCGTTGGCGAAATCTCGAGCGATTCACATCGAGCAGCATATTCTAACGAAGGAGCCATCACTGCGAGCTCAGTTGCATTCGCAGTCAGTGAAAGAGAGGTTGTGTCAATGTCAGAGAGTAGTTGTCCCGACGCGGGGCAAATAATTGTTATTGCTATAAAACTAATTAGTTCTCCAACCAGTGAACCTAGTAAAACAACATTAATTAATCAGTGTTTAAGTGGCAGTTTAATGCAAAACAGTGCTCAGGGGTTTCAGCATCATCTTCAGCAAAATCAAAATCTAGTGCAACCCCCGCAACTCGTGTGGACACCGGATGGTCAACTTGCAGCAGCGATTAAACACGCAGCATATCAACAACCAGTTCAAGAAACAACGGGCTCCTTACAGCAAAAAATGGTCCATGAAGACTTGGATAAAGTAGATTCCTCGGAAAGTGAAAAAACAACTCCTGACTCACCGGAAATTAACAGATACAAGCGCGCTCGGCAAGGGACCGAGTATTGCGTAGAGTCAAATTCAAATAGTGGTAATCAAACTAGTAAGCCAATGAACGAGATTTTTAAAAAAAAGGCTGATTTTGAAATTTCTGGTTATGTATATAATGTTTCAACGTATTCAGGATATGCAAAACTAGGGAATATAGTGAGTGAAGATGAAAATGCAATAAATTTAGACGTAAATAAGCAACCGAAAAAACGAAATTTCCCCCAATTATAATGCACGATGCAGAAAACGTTTCTTTAATATTATAAGACATCAAAGAAACAGCGCAAGGTGACTTCAACATCCGCTTAGAAAATAATGGAGTGAAAATATATCTAACGGAAATTTATGATTACCGAAACTTCAAAAAATGTCTACAAATAAACAAATATACCATTCCATTCCTTCAGGAACACTCGTACAAAATCATTTTCAGTATTTATGAAAGACATTCCCTTTTCATTGACAGACATTCCCCGAAATAAATTTATAATGGACTAACAAAATTAAAACATAATGATGTAAAAGTGTCTAGGTTATATAATAAAGGTAAAAAGCTTATTATCATGTGTGCAGTGTAACTAGAAGACGAAACAAATCCTAGAAACATTTAACATCTTAAACGTTTTGATCATTGTATTGTAAGATTCTATGCTCAAGTAAATAATAAAGTTATTGAATGTAAAAAATGCCAAAGGATAGGGCATACGCAGGCTAACGTATTTAGAATCTAGGTGTGTTAAATGCCCCAATAAGTACCATTATTCAGAGTTCAAAATCAGTATAAGTTCACCCCCTGTTTGTGGTAACTGCCACGGTAGCCACACCGCCAACTACGGAGGCTGGCGGCCATTACAGGAAACACTGTAATTTTCATTCCGACTCATTGAGTGTCAAACCAACACCAACTCATGGGCAACAGGAACCAGATCTGGATCAATTAAGCTAGAAAGATAAAAGAGGCGAAGCAAGGCCTCTAAACAGGACAGAATTGCCTCTTTTACCACAAAGATCCGCAAACCTAATTTCCCGGAAACGTTTACTTCAAATGCAAGCATAACAAAAACCAAATTACAGAAATAGTATCAGTAAGTGCTCGCAGCAATTATTTGACACATAAAAATATATGCAAACAAATAGCCAATAAAACACGTAAAAATAGCAAAACTATATCTACTCATAAATAGCCACTCTAGACTAAGCATAGAATGTAGGATAATTTTATTCAAATCAATTATTAGACCATATCTTATCGCTTGCCCTGTCTGGAGTGAAGCCCCCAAAAGTAACATAGAGAAAATTCAAGTAGTTCAAAATAATTTAAGACGTTCAATTAAAGCACTATGGTACGTTTCAAATAGGCAAATCAGAAACGAACTGAAAATAGAAAATTTGAATACTGATATTAGAAGACTATCAGTAATTTTTTTTGAGGGACTACTACAAGCGGAGTGTGTTAAAAAATTTAATATAGGACGTTCAGCAGAAGACATTAAAATTATTTCAAGATACCCCAAGGAAAATTTACTCCCACCATAAAACGTCACAAGTACAAAATAAATAAAAAATCGAAACACTAAATTAATAAAAACGTAACAAAGTATGAGGGAACTTCGACTAAATGAACCTGCCTATGCCCTAACTCAGTTTTAGTATTAAGACATGCAAATCTCTGTAAAAGGAATGGATTGAACAAATAGATAATAAAGCTATTAAAAATAACTTTAAATTACAATTTTGCACAATAACACGATTTTCTAACGATAATATTTTTAATATCCGAATAATTTTCAACGTTGCGTTTATAAAAAAAATTCAAAATGGCTCTTTTTTGACATAATATGGTTCAAAATTTAGTTGGAATGTAGTATCATAGTTGCATTTCCGTCATTAGTTACTGGTGGCTCAACGTCACTGCCTTGCTGTCGAAATAATGATGCAAAAATATAATTTTTACAGACGAAATGGAGTTCAATATCCCAGGTGGAAGAATACCCAACCTAATAAAGAGAATCTTTGTTCCATGGCCAAGAACGGCGGAGACAGTGTTTTAGTAGCGCGTGCATGAGCGCCGCAGGAGCTGTATTTGTGCATTTTATAGAGGGGGAAATGGATCACAAACAGTGTATAGATAAACTGGAGGCTCATGTAAACCCTCGGGTTGCAACACATTAGTGAAGACTTGATATTTATGCAGTATAACGACCCTAACCGTACTGCCATTAAACTCGCTTCTGAATACTGCACACCATCCGATCCTACCTTCAATGTCTCCAAACTCCAACCTTGGGAGTCATGGGAATTAAGGCTTTTAACGAGGCATACTTCTAGTAAGCGGACAGTAAAAAGAGTTCTGCTGGAAGAATGGAATAATATTACGATCAAGGTGACATCGAATTTGTCAGCTCTTTGCAACGAACATTGAAAGCGGTAATAAAATCAAGTGGCTATCCACTAAATATTAGATTTATCAGAAAAAAATTTATTTTCTATTTATGAAAACTATGATTTGCACAATAACTTTCTGCGCTTAGTTTCTGATAGATATTTTTATTAATAAATATCACAGATTGTAATCATCTATTTCTATTTTTTTAATTATAAACACTTATTTGAGCAATTGGTCAATGAGATCAATGAATTAATGTGAATGTACTATTTTAGGGAAATACAGTGCTTTTCGTTACAATACTCATCGTATGAATACTTTTACATTTACTGGATTTTATTGTCCAAATAGCATGTTACAAGCAACAGCGGTTGGGCCACTGTTTGTTAATGGTACACTTCCTTTACACATTAATTTATTTGTGAAAGAATTTCAGATATACTCACCATATCTATTTTTTGAAGAGGAAAAGGGTAATTGAAATTAGTTTGCGTATAAGGCAAATGCGACGAACGTAATTCGTAACCACTACATTCCAGAACTACGATGGGACTTCGAAGAGATGTGAGAAATGTTGGCCGGAGATCGCGAATTCCCCAGAACATCACCTCAAACCTGCAGATAGACAAAATAATCACGTAAATATCTGTAGAAAGTGCATAATCTCAGAAGATTCTGAGTAGCATTCTAAATTTTAATAGTATAGTATCCTAAATATAAATATTTTTGTTACATACATTACAAGAGTGGTGCTAAAAATTTATTTGATAAATCTGAAGAGCCTAAGGATATCATTGTATCTTGAGGCTACTTAACCCAAAGGAAATATTAAGCTAGGAAAACTCCTTTAAAAACGTTTTTAAAAACAATTTTGGACTTGAATTCAGGGCTCATGAATGGATGCGGAGGAAAGCAAATAGAACAAAATTATGCGGCGGGCAGAAACCACTTTTTTGTGGTTAACTGTTGTGGTCGCGGCGGTCGGAGCCTCGGCAGCCACTTGGATTTGAAAGGACGAGTGGACCAAAAACTTTAGGTTACAATAAGCCACTAATGTATTAAAGTGCGATGGAGTGTTTCCCTAAAGAATATTCAATATATTTACCATTATACATTCCAGGGACATCCAGAAAATAAGTTTCCCTATTGATTTTTTTCACTTTTAAAGTACACGCATTTAAACGGGAAAATTGCACATGCGTAATATCTGTTGCCAATAAAATTTTGCATGTAACTATTTGGTCTTTTATTTCACAAAATACGGAAAATTACTTTCTGGATGCGCTATATCCGTGGTGTATACTGCTGGACACCTGTCTTACTAACATATATTTTCTTATTATAGTTCCACGGTATTCAATTATAGACCAATTACATCTCCCTGTAATATCAACTAAGGCGTAACTTAAGGTAGTGAGTTTGGAGTTTTTTCGAACCATTATATACCGAGAATATAAAAATAAAATGAAGGAGTGGGGGTAACACAGTGATAACCCGTTTCTGTAATGTTTGTAAGCCAAATGAAAAGCAAAGTTTGTGTAAATCCAGACATATCTCACTGCATCAAAAATTCTAAAAACTTATCTTGTCACCCTTAACATCTGGTCTAAGAAGTCTGTCAGTATTTGGCGTGACAGCCCGCAAACCGCCTGGCCACGCGGTCATGGGTTAAGGGGTGCGTGTTGTTAGGACGAAGACTTTCTGAGAAGCGAGTTTTCTCATCGTCACACAGCACACACTGGGATTTTAACAAAGAAAACGCACACTATAATCTTGCCAGGCCGTGAATAGATCCCGGGGTCGCGTTATGCGGTTTAAGCAGTAGAGTATTAAAATTAATTAGACAAGATATATCCACATATGTTTTACTCTTTGTAAACAAAGAGTACCCTGTCAAAAAAATGTATCAAATTATTCCTTAGAGCAATTTCGCAAAGTCTCTTTGTCTGCAATTGAAAAGAAGATAGATAAAATTGGAGAAAGGTACATCAACAAAATGTAAAGAATGTGACATTACATTTTAACAATATTTCTTGTCGCAAATGATCTTGTCTACCCAAGTTGACGCTGCGTCACCCGGCCAGCCAAAATCATTTGCATGACTGGCCGCAGAAGCCTACGACTTCACTGAATATTTCTTATTACTTGGTTCAGATCCATCTTTTTTATTAATAATAAATTGATAAGTTAATAAACCGCATTAAAACCGTATTGACATATTGTAATGAATTATGAGCCAGTAAATTAAATGCTGAAGTATTTCTAAGATAACAATAATAGTAGAGAAAAATAGTAAATGCTCCGTGTAATATAAAAAATGTATAAATGCACAATGATAACAAAATTACAACGGTAAAAAACTAAAATAAAGAGAGAAATAAAAGTACTGAAAGGACTAAAAAATCGTACAAATTATTTCAGCGTAAATATTGTATATCCGTAATCGCTAAACTGTATTTCGCTAGCGTCTAATAGCTCGCGGGAAAATGTTCGCAGCGGTCACACTTACGTTTAACCTACTCTACTGAGCTCAGGTAACTCCCGGAAACAGCTACTGGCATACACTCGCGCAACTGTCACTACCGATCTCATAGTTCATATCATGTATGTATATTAGAGATAATGTTTCCTGTTTCATGTTAAGCCATGTTTCGTGTACAGCATTTAAGAACATGCCCATTGAATGTCTTCTAAAGGGTGTACAGTTTATCGTTCGCCCAAGATTTGCGCCGTGTCGCCCGAGGAGACAAGGGCTCGCTCGCCCAGCGAAGGGCTCACTCAACTCCCGTGCTGACTCACGGAAACGATAACGGCGCTTAAAAAGATGCCGAATGTAATGTCACTTGGCTCGAATGCATTCTTGGCACCTCCGGAACACATTCTGATTATTTTTTCTGATGACGCGTGATTTCATCTGAGTCGATACGTCAACAGCCAAAACAACCGCTATTGGTGTGCAGAAAATCCTCACCAGAAGCTTCTCGAAGAACCATATCACGACGCAAAGATTGGAGTGTGGTGTGGGTTGACTTCCACAAGAATTATAGCGCCTATTTTTCAACATCTCTGTTACTGCTGATGTTTACATAAATCAAATATTGACATTATTCTTCGAAAAATTGACGCCAGAAGGAAGGCTCTATGGTTACTTTCACTACGATTCGGTAACTAGTCACACAGCTGTTCGGTCCATGAACTTTTTCAGTAGTTTAAAGTGACGATCGAATAATTAGTCGTGAGTTATGGCGTCCTTGTCACCTGATCTGACCCCTTGTGACTGTTTTTCTTTGAGGGTACTTGAAAGATCAGGTCTGTGCAGAAAATCCGCATTTGGAGGAAGAGCTCCGCTGGTCTATTGAAGAGAAAATTGCAGCAATTCCTAGAGACTTACATCAAAGGGTAAATTAGAATACATTCGAACCGAAGGACACAATTTTCAGCATTTTTTTTTCAGGAAGTTACGTGCAGCGATAGTTCCTGTATGCCAGCACGGGAGGTAAGTCGGCGCTTCGCTGGGCGAGCGAGTCCTCGACCTCGCGGACAATGCGGCCCGAATCTTCGGCGAACGATAAAATGTCCACCCGGTATTTCCTCTTGCACAAGCATATTCTCACCTGTACACGCAGAGCGCCGGGCTGAGGAAGGATGGAAGGGGAATGGGAATGGCCGCTTTGAAGCCGCGTTTGCGGACCTTGGGCTCAGGAATCTGTAAAGATGAGCAGGTTGACATTTCAGACCAATTTCTTGTGTTGCAAAAGTGGTCAACAAATTAGATAAAATAATTTTGCATCCACCGTTTTACATCGCCTTCATGTATCATCAAAGAGAGAACATTGTATTGAAGACGGCAATCTTTGATAGCAGCTCTACATTATCGATTTATGAGTTTATAATTTTTAATATTACTCAAAACCCGTACATATTGGATCGACGTAGAGCGAAACTTTATTTCCATAACACCTAAGTGGCAAAAATATATTAGTAATTTGTTCATCTAACAACGGGTTAGCTTTCTTATCGCATATGTATCACTTTTTCAGATTTTCGAGTCCACGAAAAATAATTCAATTCCAAATGGGCGCAAAATATTGACAAAATTAGTAAAATGTAGCCTTGCTGACGCCGTAAACTGTTTTAAAAATAGTTCGAGTGTTGAAAATATCCTTCCTGCTGAGCATTGTTCAAATATGTTCTTTGAGTATTTGGCTTTCGACTTACCAATGAATCGTAGTAACTGATGTTATATTCCCATTCAAAAAAGTTCCCAATACCTAATTGTCTTGAATGATACCTCCATACGGGATGTGAACTAGTCTTACTGCAATTTCAAAATTATAATTGCCGTAACAATTACTTGTAGATTTTGTGATTAGCACAAATGCTAAATGCAAAAATGCAAGATCATTCCAATTAGTTCCGAAAATTCTGTCGCAACACCTTTTACACCTACATTTGATTCTTCTCCGGATTTCCTATTTCCACTTTCATATTTATCTACCGTAATTTTTGAATAATTTAAAACATCTGAAACTCAGTCTAATTTGTTGTGTATTTACAAGTATTATGATTGTCTGTATAAAAATTACTGTATTTTCTGTATATTTGAGACAATCATATTATTTATTTTTAAATAGTTTAATTATTTCCAAATCATGAGTAAAATACTTATGTACTTTTACATTTCAATCACAACGTTTCGCAAACTACTTATTCGCATCATCAGGTGCATATCAGGTACTGTAAATACGACAAAATATTATTTTACATTAGCAATAAATTATTAATAATAAAATGACAAAACATGTGTAAATACAAAATACAATTTTGGAGAAAGACTCACCTTATCATGTTTTTTAGAAAAACATTCATTTTATTCAAAAAAATTCAGTCTAATTTGTGTTCACTTCTACTTCTCCAATTGCTCTATTACTCGTTTTGTATGCGAATCTAGGGTTGCATGCGAATTTAACTAATTTAACTTTATTTAAAAAGGCGACTTTTTGTTAAGTTTAATAAGAATAAGTTGTGGGTCCCAATAATTTCAAAATCGGTATTTTCACATTTACGAAAGAACGCAAAAGTGAGAAGTCCAACATAACGTTGATTTACCCTCTAGCATTAATCGGAGTTTTGATTTCTCCGTATTCCGTTGAAATTCGTCAAGTCTATGTTCCGAGGCAATACTGTACGTGGGTATTCGCTTTTTTTAATACGATTATTCTAATCTAAATTTAAATCAATCTGTAGTGCGATTTACTTGGTAATTCAATTGATCGCTTAAAGATGTCAACATCAGTGTTGCCAACGCTGTGAAAGAAAATTAGGGCGTACTGAACAAAAAATACCAGTATGATACTGAAGTTTTATCAACACTTCCTACATAGATCGATTTATGAGGTGTTTGTTTAATTCCTAGCATTATTACCAAGATCGCAGCTCTAAAACGCGAAAAAAAGTTTTTGGAAAATCCTTTGAATATTTTTGGCCGGACCCGGAAGCAAATTATTAGTTCCCCACCAAGTGAACGAGACGCATCGAATGACATACGTCTCGATTTGTGCACGGGAAGTGGTCTAGCCGCGAGTGACGGAACAGCACGTCTGCACATTCACACAACCATACACTGGTATTTTTTACTCAAATACTGCATAGGGATGACATGCAACCTCAACTACAGAAAAGTTTAGACAATGCATGATGACTCCTTGTATAATTATCTAATTTATCAGGTTTTAGTGATTTAATTACCGTGACAAATATTCACTACTTGAATTAATACATTTTCAATGTAATTTTGTTAATGAAACAAAATAATGAAAAAAAGCATAATTTATAACGTGAAAACCCTGCAATGTAGAGAAGAAGTGAGTTTGCTGAAAAGCTTAAGTAGTTGGTGTTTTAGTGTTCTGTGGCCGATGGAATGCAATGCACATTTTAAAGTGTTAAATTACTTAATGATTTTCACTTACCTTACATTCCCACATGTCCCAGTGTAATTATATGAAGCGTACTTTTAAAATACCACTTGCATAATAGCCTTTCGCTTTCTCATTCAAACTACAGGACTATAAAATATAAATTTTCAGTAGTATGTAAGTGCATAAGTAGAAAATTAGACCTACCCGACGCATTTCAAAGGCGGCATTAATATCGGCAATATGTTCACTCGGTGACCTAAAGACAGGAAGCCAACGCAACTGTATTTCATTAATTGCATCATATGTCTCGATATTTGGTGCGTCTATTTGCCCTAATGCTCGATCATATTCATTAAAACGAAACGAAGAGTCCTCAGAGTCCTCAGAGTTCACTTCTCTGAGTATCTTGACATTCTTTCGAACCGACTTTTCAGGTTGTAAGGTCGACGGAAGCATTGCCACTTTTGTAAGGAGACATCCCATGTATTCGTGTTGATTCTACAACAAAACAATTTAAGATATAATTTATAAAATATGAGACATAACTAAATAAATACATTATAAAACTAAATAAAATCATCCTAGAGATATTACTTTAATGCCTAATTCCCATTATTGATTTAATTGTTTGTGTCAATTCATTGTCATATTTATTGTCTATTGTATTGCAATTTGACTATTTAATGCAATGAAGTGAATATTTTTCTTTACTCTTTTACTTGCTACCCCTCAATCGAAAACATGTACTGCTAATTATGTGTTGAACTAATCGCTAAAAAAAATTATGAGGCTTTTATAAATACTTTCACTATCGCCCTAGTTGATATTAAGATTTTCAATCCATTAAGTTGAATTTTGTCGAACGTTTATTCTCTCCCCTCCCATTTTTTAAATTAACAATATGTGTATAATTTGAAAACAACATATCAAAACGTATGTACATATGATCATGAAAAAATAAAGATCATTATTCCAACCACTCCATTTTTTTGGAAGACCGCATCCATTCTTTTGGTCACACCTCAAAATTTACATTTCGAATCTTTTAATCGATTTTTTTATTATTTGATTCTGGTTTACTATACACTTCAGCGTGTTTCACACTTCTTACAAACTCATTTTTTTTTAAATGTTTAAAAAAATCGAATTCTGAAACTTACCGATTTATCCTCATCCAATAATTCAATAAATAGGTACGGAGGATTTTTTTGGTAATATTCCTCAGAATCTCCAGGCAATGCAACATTTTCAAGAATTAGCGTCTGATTCCATAGAGGATTGAGAGTAGCATATTTAGTCTGAAAATTAAAGCCAAAATATAATATTATTAATAACTACATAAAAAATAGAAGAAAACAAATATTAATATTAACTCCAAAGCCAGACAGTTTTCGAGTTAATAAATATAGATAAAGTGATAAAGTTTAAAAAGACAAGATGTGCATAAACTTGTGGCAACACTACAACCACAGTATAGAAGAAAGCGTTTTAATTTTATCGCGAAAGTAATACTAGTCTTAAATATTTTTTAAGTTAAAATTCGGCATTAAATTTAAATTTTACTAACGACGATTTTCAGGTGCCATTGTCTACATAAGTATTGTAATGTATACAATGTATATATCGCCGAAACACATTTCCGTAATCGTATCGCAGAAGATTTCTTTCGAATACATCATAAGTAGAAATTGATAATCTTGGTATCCTTTGAAGAAGAGAGATCCTACAACCTATTTATAAAATGTTGAAACTGTGCATCACTAAACGTACACTAGTTCATGCCCCGACGCCGTCTTCTGCTGCGTCAGCGCTGCTGCGACCTGGTGCTCTTGTGCCCCTCGCTGTCGTCTTCTAGC